AGAGCAGGTGGAGGCCAATTCACAAAGGCTTGGTTTAAAATTTGGCTATTTTGTTGTTCATAGATCTTTTTGCACTGATTTTGATTTATTTAATTTTTTTAATGTTTATTTTTGAGAGAGAGAGAGAGAGAGAGACTCAGAGGAGAGCACAAGCGGGGGCGGGGCAGAGAGGGAGGGAGACACAGAATCCGAAGGAGGCTCCGGGTTCTGAGCTGTCAGCACAGAGCCCGAACTCATGAACCGTGAGATCATGACCTGCGCCAAAGTTGGACGCTTCACCGACCGAGCCACCCAGGCTCCCTGTGATTTTGATTTTTTCAAAAAGATACTGCATTAAGGTATTATCTATCCCGATGGCTGAGTTCTTAGTACCCAGCAAACACTTTCTTTTTGCACCTTGGGGAGTGTCTCACTCACCTCACCCTAGTCCCAGCTCTGGCTGTCAGGTAGGAGTGGAGCTAAGTTTGATTTGGGGAGGAAGGGTCAGGTTACTGAGTCTAGAAAGCTAAAAGCCCATTAGGTTTGATGTCAGGGCCATAGAGAGAGACAGTGGGAGATCTTGAACAAGGCAGATAGGGATGATGTTTTAGGAAGATTCATCTGTTCCCAAATGCGCAAGGTAGACCGATGTGCAGGGAGGGCTGGAAGCAAGATCTGGAGTTTGTGTAACTAGATCATGTGTTTCCAGAAGTGTAACAGTTAAAAAAGGAAAGAGCTGGACATATTTGGGTCAGGCTATTTTCAAGATGTGTTTCAAATACATTTGATTGTGGAAGTAAAGGGCCCATGTAACGACAGAGTTAACATTTCTCACTTGTCGAGTGCCTACTGATCCTAGAGCCGGGGTTGGCGAACTTGTGTAAGTGGCCAAACAATAAATATTTTAGGCTTTGTAGGCCATGCCACTTGTTATGTGAAAGCAACTACAGACAATACGTAGATGAGCAAATGTTGCCATGTTCCAATAAAGCCTTATTTACAAAAATAGGCATTGGGGAAAAAAAAAAGCAGGAATTGGGCCTCGATTTGACCTGTGGTGGTTGTAGCTTACTGAATTCCTACTCTCGGCCATTGGCAGCTTCATGGTCAAAGCCAGGTGGCCATGGGTTCTAGTTAGTAAGTAGAAAGAAAGCATGGAGGGAGTACCTCCGTCGTCCCAAGGCCTCGGCCTGGGAGTGGCACACATCTCTGGAGAAAATTTTGACATAGG